TGTCCCTGTCAGGGAGTGAAAGCAAACTGCACAGCTCTTCTGTCCCCTGGATTCCCCAGCCAGAGTGATGAGTGCAGCAGACTGTGCACTTTCCCCTTGCTCCCTGATGAAGGAGAACAGCCAACAATGTCTCCATACAAATCTGTGGGGAGGGAAGCTTCAGCCTTCCCCTCACCCTTTCTTCAGCCCCTTTCACCTGCCACGTGAATCTGTCTCTTTTCTGTATCATTTTATGAGAAGCAATCCCATTCCAGGCACATCCCATTTTCCTGGCACAACCACACCTTGCTTTAAGTTATAAGAGGAAGCAGTATACCAAATTTAGTGATTATAGAGTTTACCATTTAGGAAGAGTTCTTGAAGAGACATACTCTATCAAATATATAGTAGATTGTATTTTCCAAATCATCCCTCTGAAAAGTGACAAATTTACTTTATAACTATATTTTAGACTTATATTAATTCTATACTTAGCATTCTGCACATTTTTTATACTAATATGGATCATGATGACTTTAACTTTCCTACCAGATATTGGCCCAGATATATTATTTGCAACCTCAGTGCCAGGTGGTCCTGACAGATAAAAGACTATATGGTTTTCAGTGCTATATTCTTTAGTACAGTGGTTTTCAATCTTTTTTTCTCATGATCCAATTGAAGAAAATTGTTGATGCCTGTGACTCAACATAATTTGACTAGAGTGTGGACTCCAAGGCGGGGCAGTGGATGAGAGCTTTGGGAAGCAGGAGGGGGCTCCAGCTTTGAGGGGGATCAGAAGGGGCTTACCTTGAGCAGCTCCTGGTCAGTGATGCAGTGGGGGGTGCTAAGGCAGGCTTCCCACCTCTTCTGGCACCACAGACCATGCTGAGCCCCAGAAGCAGCCAGCAACAGGTTCCCAGCCAATGGGAGCGCAGAGTTAGTTCTTAGGCCTGTACACTGTCCCCCGCTTCCCACCTAGGAACCAGGTATGCTGCTGGCTGCTTCTGGGAGGCAGCACAATCTGCAGTGTCAGGACAGACAGGTAGCCTGCCTTAGTACCCCACTAGTCACCTGAGCTCCCTCTAGCAAGGAGACCTGGTGCCTGATATTCTACAACACCGTAGCAGGTCATGACCTGTAGTTTGAAAACCACTACTAGTATGTTGTCCCCACAGCTCAATTATCTGCCTTTTTTTATGCCTGCAACATAATTAGGTCTTGGTAGCTGAAATATTACACATTATCCAGCTAATTCTATTTTTCTCTGAAATTTGAATATCTTAAATATGTTTATAGTATTACAGCAAGCTACAGTTAGACAGTGAAGATATTCAGAGGGGTAGCCAAGTTAATCTATAACAGGAAAAACATTAAAAACAACAAATAGTGTAGTAGCACCTTAAAGACTAACAAAACATGTAGATGGTATCGTGAGCTTTCGTGGGCACATCCCACTTCTTCAGATGACAGGGGTATTAGATGTCCAGAACCAAGAATAAGTCAATCAAATGAAGATATTGATACTGAAATACATTGGCTAAATAAATAAAAAGAATGAAAAATGGAGGCAATTTTCGATACTATTAGACAAATATGAACATAATAATTGTGAAACATTACACAACAAATAAGATGTAGCACTGTGACTTTGAGGATACTCAGATTTGAGGTTAAAAACAAACTTGTACTTAGAAAAAAAGAAAGATAATTAAACGTGAATATAGAAGCTATAAGAAAGGGACAGAATAAGAGCAGAATAAGTTACTGCTAGCACACCGAGATACAGCAGTTTGAGTATGTCTACACTACAGCGTTATTTCGAAATATCTAATTTTGAAATGTTATTTTGAAATAACACGTCTACACACAAAAATACATTTCGAAATAGCATTTTGCTATTTCGAAATAGTGCGTCCACACTGAGTGGAACATGGAGCCAGAGCTGCTCCTGGGCACTCTGGTGCTTCTCGTGCGTGCATTGTTGCGAGCCTGGTCTGCCCCATTGAGGGCTTGTGCCTCATTCCTCTCTCACATCCTTCCACTTATCCCTCCCTAACTTCCCTTCCTGATGTAAAATAAAATACATGTATTTTCATGAACACAAACTCTCTTTATTTAACCAAACTGGGGTGGAGGGAATGAAACTCTGGTGAGACTGGGGAAAGGAGGCGAGAGAGAGAAGAGAGAGAGTGGGAGAGGGGAGAGGAAAATCAGGGATAAGGGAGCTGGAAGGGGGAAGCAAGGGAAAGAAGTGGGAGCTGTCCTGCCATAGACGGCTGTGTTCCTCCGTCTAGTGTGGAGATCATGGACGTTGGGGGCATCCCCCCCCAAAACCTGAATAAGGTCCATGATCTCCATCCTGGACCAGGAAGGCGCCCGCCTTCTCCAGGCCCTAGCAGGCTCCTGGAAGCTGTCAGACTACTCCTGGGGAGCAGTGGAGGGCTGGCTGCCAGTGGCTTGCTGGCTCGTGTTTTGGGGCCACTGGGTAGGAAGCAGTGACTGCTGGCTCTGGGCTGGCAGGCTTGGTGTTGGCATAGACACTGTGGCCAGAGTCTACCCCTTAAGGGTTCTGGGGAAGCGGGGAGGGAGAGGAGTGTTCTTGGTTGAGGCTGGAGTGGCCACCAGCACTTATTTCGAAATAGCTATTTCAAATTTGGCATTATTCCTTGTGGAATGAGGTTTACCAAATTCAAAATAAGCACTCTGCTATTTTGAATTAATTTCGAAATAACGAAATATCCGTGTAGACCTAGGATAGTTATTTCGAAATAAGGGCTGTTATTTCAAAATAACTTTGCTGTGTAGACAGACCCTTTAAGAATAGCTTTTAAGAATGTATCAGCTGTTCTAAGAACATCCTCTGGCATTATAAGTGTCTGAGAGTGTTAAGAAATCTTATACTCAATATTAATTGAAATCAAGGAGGATATAATCTGTGTTGTAGGGATTTAAAATGACTGAAAGATTGTAAATGAAGGGTAATGATAAAAACTGAATTGAAAAAAAATCGCTAAAGCTTGATTAAGAACTCAAGTTCACTACTAGGCTTTGTCTACTCTACAGGTTTTTGCGGCAGAGAGTATGCTAATGATGGACTCATTAGCATGAGTCAATGTCATTAGCATAATTTCTGCCGATGCTTTTTGCTCAAGAGGTTTTTGCACAAAAAGAAGCAGTGTAGCCGCTTCCATTTTGCGCAAAAACGCCCTTTTGCACAAAATCCTTATGCTTCTGTGCTGGACCAGCATTTCAAAGGGACAGTACAACGCAGAGCTGGGGATCAGCTGGGCACTCCAGATGATCCCTGGCTCCTCATGCACTGCCTCTTTGAGGCGCCAAGGTGGCACTTCAAAGGGGCAGTGCTGCATGGAGCCCGGGGTCAGCTGGAGACTCCAGCTGCCCCCGGGCTCCCATGGTGCTGCCCCTTAGAAGCACCGGGGCAGCTTTTCCAAGGGGCAGCTGCACTGAGCATGGGGTCAGCTGAGGACTCCAGCTGATCTCAGGCTTCCACAGTGCTGCCCCTTTGAAACATCACCGCAGCATTTCAAAGAGGCACTGCATGCGATTAATCGCGATTAATTTTTTAAATCGTGCGATTAATCGTGACTATTTTTTAAATCACTTGACAGCCCTAGTTTTTACTGAACCCGTATAATGGCTCTGCTTTGGTTAGTAAGAATTAACACCAGCAGGGCCAATCCAACCCTATAGGTGAAGTAGGTGGGCTCCTAGGGTGGCAGGCTTTAAGGGGAGCCAAAATCCCAGTCAATGTAAGCAGTGGGTGAAAAGCCTGCAGTGTATGCTTCCTTGTGCTGCTGTTTCTCCTTCCAGGAGTGGGGGAAGGGGAAAACAGCAGTGCACAGATCATCTTCTTTCACACACCAGGCAGAGTCGGCCATACAGGGGCTTTAGCACTGGGTCTCTCACTACTTCTCCTAAATTACTGAATTGGGGAAGGGGTACTAAAGTCATAGTGCTCCTAGGGCACCAAAAACCCTTGGATGACCCTAAATAGCAGCTAAATAAAACTATACTGTTCATAGGGAGAGTTTAACTATAGTGCCGCTATAAGGTATAAAACTTAAGGTCATATATTGCATCTCTAGTAAACAATTCAGTTCATATAGCAGCCACTCCATAGTTCAACCTGTGTTCAGATTTGCATTTAATGTAGGATAGCAATCCCAGCATTTCACACACATAAATGATTGGATTTAGTTTTCATATTTTATATTCTAACTGTTTGCATTTTCTGTAATATTGCATTTTCTACAATTATTTTTCTAAACAATATAACTTTAGCAGAAAAAACATTTTAAAATGCTCCCTTTTGGAAATTTGGCCCCGAGAGTCCCTTTTTCCCAGTCTCCAGATTTCATTCACATACCCATTCTAAAAGACAGGCAACTTTCCATACACAGTGAAAGCTTTGTTATTTATTGGTCACTCTTGGAGAATGGGTTTTGCTGGTTAATTGAATGTGCCAGATAACAAAGCTTATTGCTCTGTCCTGACCCCTACTGGCAGATCCAGCTTCCAGCAGCTTGAGGCAGACTGAGGGGGAAGGAGGCACCTGCTGATGAAGTCAGCTAGCAGTGCCTGCTGTCAGAAGCCCCACAACAGCTGGCTGGACAGGTGGGAGTCAGGCACACATGTCTGAAGACACAGCAGTATTGTGGCTAGGGTCAATGCCAGTTAACAAAGTGTTATCCAGCATTCTCTTAACAGAAGAAAAGCTTTCATTGTATTTGCAAATAGCCTAATAACATTTACTCCCTAAATTGTCCACTTCCTATATTATCTCTATAAAGAGTAAGTGACATATCCATTTTCTAATGCTTACCTCTTGGCTTCAAGCTCTAAGATAGACTGAATTTTTGTTTCAGAGTATTATAAAGCAACTTGAAATGTAAAAATATGAAACTTAAATGTTATGTAACAAATAGTAGAGTATCCATTTAATTGTTTACATTTCATTTACAGTTTGTAATACTGTTTTTCCCTTTTTATTGATGTAGCTGAAAATCCTTGCTATCTGGATAAGAGTCGCCTTATCAAGAAAGGAGCTGCACGTTTGAAGCGAGAAAATATAGATAGAATTCATAACTCAGTGGCCTTTTCTGAAACTGGTGGAGTCACATCTATTCCAGATGCTCCACAAATTTCTCATCAAATACTTGGAATAGAAGGATCAACTGGTAAACCCATAATACTGTGAGAAACTTGATTATCCGTTTACTCATTGATTGGTAACTGGTTAAAAGATAGGAAACAAAGCGTGGGAATAAATGGTCAGTTTTCATAATAGACAGAGTTGAATGTTGCACTTCCTCAGACCTGCTGAGGAACAAACCTGGACAAAGGGTGGGCTGGACCAGTATTGCTGTTGGGGTTGTTTATTAGTACAGCTTCTTAAGAGTAAGATGATACCCACACATACATATCATTCATGCTGGCAGTTTGGAGGCAGGCTGCAAGTGCGGTGTAGATTACTTTTGATTTTGCTGGTGCCTGGAGTGCTGGGCCAGGTGTCAGCTTCTTGGTCACTCAACCATGAAGTTCCTTAGGAGATCCCTTTGGATCTGCAGGAGGCTTTACTTTCTCTGGGCTGGTCCCAGGTTTCTGCTGTGATGTTACATCTTGTCAGAGTGAGAGAGAGATTTTCTGGCCATTTCTCAGTTAATTTGTCTGCTTGCAGGGTCTTTATTTGCATTAAAAGGTTACAGATCCTAAACCAGTGGTCCCCAACCTTTCGTGGCTGCCGGGCGCCCAGGGGCGCGGCCACTCAAATGCCGGGTATCTGGGGGCTGGGCCGCTCACGCACCGTGCTTCCTGGGTTGGGGCCACGCATGTGCTGCATGCCCAGGGGTGGGGGCCGCCCACGTGCCCTGAGCCCAGGGCCGGCACCACGCATGTGTCGTGTGCCCGGTGCAGGCGCCGCCCACGTGCCATGGTCCAGCATGCCTATTTATGGGGTGTGTTCAGGGATGGCTCAGACTCACCAACAAACCCAATATCCACCTGATGACCACCCGCTCCCAGATGTGGTAAAGAGCTCAAAGTCGTAGTAAAGAGCTACAATGGTGGACAAAACCATACACCAACCTCTACAGGGCCATACCTTTTCAAAATCCAGAACCCACAGTTATCACCACAGATGTGTGTCTCACTGGGCGGGGAGTGCACATGAAAGGACTCACAACCCATGGCCTATGGACCACAGCAGAGAGGACATTATAAACTACCTTTCCATTAGGTGTTTCTCATTCACACTTCACACACATTCCATAGATCTCATGCATATTCATAAGCAGGGCTCGCCAAACCGTGGTGAGCCCCACCCGCCAGCTGCTCTGTCCAGCGATCTGTGCATGCGCAGATCGTTCTGTGCATGTGCAGATTGCCCGAACCCGGCTCTTCCGGGTTGCAATCTACTTGCCACGGGCGAGTAGATTGCATTATTTGTTGGGCCCTGTTCATAAGCAATATGGTATCTAGGCAAAGTTGGGCCTCATGACCTTGAGTAACAAGAAGAAGAAGAAGAGCTTAACATAAATTGTAACTAAGGGTATGTCTATACAGCAAAGTTATTTCGAAATAACAGCTGTTATTTTGAAATAACTTTACTAGCGTATACACAGCGGGCGAGTAGATTGCATTATTTGTTGGGCCCTGTTCATAAGCAATATGGTATCTAGGCAAAGTTGGGCCTCATGACCTTGAGTAACAAGAAGAAGAAGAAGAGCTTAACATAAATTGTAACTAAGGGTATGTCTATACAGCAAAGTTATTTCGAAATAACAGCTGTTATTTTGAAATAACTTTACTAGCGTATACACAGCC